CAGTCTCTGACCTTTTCCTGTAGTAGATTTGTAGTCTCGGACCTTTCCCTGTACTATGTGTGCAGTCTCTGACCATCTCCTATAGGATATCTGCAGTCTCTGACCATCTCCTGTAGTAGGTCCGCAGTCTCCGACCATCTCCTGTTGCATGTCTACAGTCTCTGACCATCTCTTGTAATATGTCTGCAGTCTCTGACCATCTCCTGTAATATGTCTGCAGTCTCTGACCATCTCCTGTAATATGTCTGCAGTCTCTGACCATCTCCTGTAATATGTCTGCAGTCTCTGACCATCTCCTGTAATATGTCTGCAGTCTCTGACCATCTCCTGTAATATGTCTGCAGTCTCTGACCATCTCCTGTAATATGTCTGCAGTCTCTGACCATCTCCTGTAATATGTCTGCAGTCTCTGATAATCTCCTGTAGCATGTTCTGCTTCTCTGACAGTTTTCTGTAGCATTACATTCATTGAATACTATGTGTGGCCCTTTGATAAGGTCAGGGGCCACACTTGAGGCCTCCTATATCCAGATCTTTCACCACCACTGATACAGTACATGTGGTCCTGGCTGTTTATGGGCCCCGGGCATGTAACAGTCATACACATGTGGAAAGAATAAAACCCAAAACCTGGAAAGACATACGGGGACAGGCAATAGACACCAGGACAGAATAGAATACGAGTCCGTCACACGCAGCCTTCCTCGTCTCCAGCGGTTCTGGTCCAGAATATGGAAGAACTCATAACACTGAATGTAAAATGAATGTTACAGCACCGGATCACGTTTCCCATTATTACGCGTTCCGTCCCATCAGATCCATCGCTGGCTTTCTCTATACAGCGTGTGGATGGGATGTTATATCTTCTCAAACACTGCCCCCTTGTGGAGGTCTCACGCCAATCCCGGCCAATAGTAAAAGGAACAATTCCGAGTGAAGGAAAACTTCAGGAAATACATTATTATGGCTAATTTTATGTATTTGCCCCCTTTCATGGCCATTAATATGGAGTTGCCCCCCCCTCATGGCCATTAATATGGAGTTGCCCCCCCCCCCTGGCCATTAAGGTAGAGTTGCCCCCCTCCTCACATGGCCATTAATATGGAGTTGCCCCCTCTAATGGCTAATTATATGGACTTGCCCCCTCTAATGGCTAATTATATGGACTTGCCCCCTCTCATGGCCATTAATACGGAGCTGCCCCCTCTCATGGCCGTTAATTTGGAGTTACCCCCCCCCTTCCATGGCCATTACTATGGAGTTTCTCCTCCTCATGGCCTCTAATATGGAGTTGCCCCCCTCCTCACATGGCCATTAATATGGAGTTGCCCCCCTTCATGACCATTAATATGGAGTTGCCCCCCTTCATGACCATTAATATGGAGTTGCCCCCCTGCTTCCATGGCCACTAATATGGAGTTGGCCTTCCCTTTGGCTATAACATTTTCTGCTCTTCTCGGAAGGCTTTCTACAAGATGTTGGAAGGTGTCTGTGGGAATTTGTCCCATTTGTGAGGTCAGGTACTCATGTTGGATGAGAAGATGTGGCTCAATCATCGTTTCAGTTAATCCCAAATGTGTTCAGTAGGGTTGAGGTCAGGACACTTGAGTTCCTCCACACCAAACTGGTCACACCATGTCTTTATGCAGCTGGCTTTGTAGACAGGGGACAGTCATGGTGGAATAGAAAAGGGTCCTCACCAAACTGTGACTACGAGGATGGAAGAGTATTGTCTACAATGTCTTTGTATGATGGAGTATTAACAAAACCTTGACTGAAGGCACCTGAACTCCATCATTTGGAGGGGTTCCAATTCACCCCAAAGGTGCTCAGAAGAGTTGAGGTCAGAGCTCTGAGGAGGACACTTGGGTTCCTCCACACCAAACTAGTCACACCATGTCTGTATGGAGCTGGCTTTGTACACAGGGGACAGTCATGGTGGAACAGAAAAGGGTCCTCACCAAACTGTGACCACAAGGCTGGAAGTGCTCAATGGTCTACAATGTATTTGTACGATGGAGTATTAACAATATCTTCACTGGAGACACCTGAAGTCCATCATTTGGATGGGTTCCAATTCATCCCAAATGTGTTCAGTAGGGTTGAGGTCAGGGCTCTGTGCAGGATGCTCGGGTTCCTCCACACCAGACTGGTCACACCATGTCTGTATGGAGCTGGCTTTGTACACAGGGGTCAGTCATGGTGGAACAGAAAAAGGTCCTCACCAAACTGTGACCACAAGGCTGGAAGAGCGTAATGGTCTACAATGTCTTTGTATGATGGAGTATTAACAATATCTTCACTGGAGACACCTGAAGTCCATAATTTAAAGGGGGAGGGGGGTCACCATACTTTTGGCCGCATAGTGTATCTATGGAAAAGGACATCAGCAGGCGAGTGATACTAATCTTGATATTTGCATAACTCTTCCCACCTGTCAGTCATGAGGATGCAATAGTGGGGAGGCGGGTATAGAGCTGGAACCCCTCCCACTGATCCTAAAGTGGGGCGGGGCAGAGACAACACATTCACTTGGGCGTCTTCCTCTTTTATCTCTGAAAATGATTTAAAAATTTGGGAAATCACAACACACATTCCAATGCACATGTTTAAATGAAACATCGAAATAATCTCATTAGGAGCTGCGGGCTGAAGTTGCTGCCAGGAATAGCTTGGCAGGCCGCGGGAAGGCCTTTTCCAGGCGCATTTGTCAAAAGCAATAAAAAAGAAAAAAGGGGGGGAAAATGTGCGGCTCCCTGCTCACGATGCGGCGGTGGAAACGATAATCAACACTATCGCTGTGGCATTAGTTACACCTCCGTGAGCCGTGTTTGCAGAATGCCAGGATACCCCGCAGACCGGAGGGGGGCGCCCACAAACATGCGGGGCGACAATTCTCTCTGCCTATGGCGGTCCCGCCAAGGCGTTCGAGGAGACAGCGCAGGTCTCTCCAACGCATGAATAGTTAATGGGAGAGGAGCGTTTGTATATCGCACCGTCGGAAAACAAAGGGAGGACATTAGTCCCACCTGCAGGGCGCGCAGGCTTTGTTCCTTCCCCAACCTGTGACTGGACAGTGAAAGGAGTAGCAGGAGAATGATGAGGTTGTCTCTCTGTCACTCTACACTCTCCTCCTATCAGAAAGTTCATTGTTAGCACATGAGCACTGCAGCACAATTAACTGTCTCCTGCAGACCCGGGAACTCAGCACAGGGATGGTGGGAGCCCCTCATAATGGGCACAGCGGGTGTACAGACCCGGGAACTCAGCACAGGGATGGTGGGAGCCCCTCATAATGGGCACAGCGGGTGTACAGACCGATGGTGGGAGCCCCTCATAATGGGCACAGCAGGTGTACAGACCCGGGAACTCAGCACAGGGATGGTGGGAGCCCCTCATAATGAGCACAGCAGGTGTACAGACCCGGGAACTCAGCACAGGGATGGTGGGGGCCCCTCATAATGGGCACAGCAGGTGTACAGGCCCGGGAACTCAGCACAGGGATGGTGGGAGCCCCTCATAATGGGCACAGCGTGTGTACAGACCCGGGAACTCAGCACAGGGATGGTGGGGGGCCCCTCATAATGGGCACAGCAGGTGTACAGACCCGGGAACTCAGCACAGGGATCTTACGAATGGAATCCCTTTAAGACAAAAAGAGACTGTCAGGGGCTTAAACTTTCTCACATGTACTAAATACTAAAGTATTACTTTGAAGTGGACTGATCCTTTAAGAATAACCTGTGCACCTAATAACATCACATTATCACCACCGGCTTCAAGAAAAGTGCAATCCTACTCTAATAATAAACATGAAAATGAAGATTTTGACAATAATTCATTAGCATGGAGTCAGCCACCAGAAGATCGGAGTTGTTCACATTCACAGCTCTTCGGGAAGTGAGAACGCACAACAAATAAAGTCTTTTCTTAGTTCAGGAGAAGGCAACTCATCGTATCTATGAAATCTTCAATATACTCACAAGGACCTCTATTGGCAGTCGGAGAGACCGGATTTGTATCTGCTGTAGTGAAGTAAAAGCTACAGGTCTTGTTCCTTGCCCAACCTGTGACTGGACAGTGAAAGGAGTAGCAGGAGAATGATGAGGTTGTCTCTCTGCTCTCTCATCGTATAAGAAAGTTCATTGTTAGCACATGAGCACTGTAGCATAATTAACTGGCTCCTGCAGACCCGGGAACTCAGCCAAAATTGCAGCATCTGAGAGATGATTGTGTGGGGGCTTAGACTTCAGTCTATGTTGTCATACAAACTGGGCCCCTCGATGATCGCTCAGATACCTAAATTTTGGTACACAGAGGTCCTTGTGAGTGTATTGAAGATATGACAGAGAAGACGTTGAGTTCACTCCGGACCAAACATCTAAGAGGGGAAAAAAGGAGACATTTTGGTTTTCTGGGTTTCATTTCTCGAACTGAATTGACCGAGTGGTGGCCTGGCCAAAGACAACCAAGTCTCCTTTTACGTGCTGATGTCCACCAGCAGCAATATGAAGGGACCCACCTGAGGCAAGCAATGCACAAATTCAATGGCCACCAGCAGCAATATGAAGGGACCCATCTGAGGCAAGCAATGCACAAGTTCAATGGCCACCAGCAGCAATATGAAGGAACCCACCTGAGGCAAGCAATGCACAAATTAAACGGCCACTAGCAGCAATATGAAGGGACCCATCTGAGGCAAGCAATGCACAAATTAAATGGCCACTAGCAGCAATATGAAGGGACCAATCTGAGGCAAGCAATACACAAGTTCAATTGCCACCAGCAGCAATATGAAGAGACCCATCTGAGGCAAGGAATACACAAATTCAATGGCCACCAGCAGCAATATGAAGGAACCCACCTGAGGCAAGCAATGCACAAATTCAATGGCCACCAGCAGCAATATGAAGGGACCCATCTGAGGCAAGCAATGCACAAGTTCAATTGTGAGGGCATTACTTTGGATTTCAGCTTCATTATATTAAAGGAAGCTCTGCTTAATGCCGGTGTGCTTTGTGTTCTCCTTCTTGGGCACTCCAAATGGCCTGGCCACAGACAACCAAGTCCCCTTTTGCTTGCCTATGGCCACCAGCAGCAATATACCGGAACCCATCTGAAGCAAGGAATGCAGAAGCTCAGTTGTGAGGCATTACTTTGGATTTTAGCTTTGTTATATTTAAGGAAGCTCTGTACCATGCCGGTGCGCTTTGTGTTCTCCTTCTTGGGCATTCCAAGTGGCCTGGCCAAAGACAACTAAGTCTCCTTTTGCTTGCCGATGGCCGACCAGCAGCAATATGGAGGGACCAATCTGATGCAAGCAATGGACAGGTTGAATTGTGAGGGCATTACTTATGATTTCAGTGTGGTTACATTCAGGGAAGCTCCGCACTGTGCCGGCTTGCTTTGTGCTCTTCTCTTTGTCCGGAGGACACTTGCCGAGTCCGTGCAGTAGATGGCTCTCACTTACTGTGTAAAGCGACTCGGGAAGGAAGACAATGCCGCCTTTAAAGCAACAGCGACAAAAGAAAGAATCCGGGAAGTCAAGAGAGGTATTAGGATACATTGTAATTAGGCGGGTGATGACAGAAGCTTCTAGAAGGCATTAATTAAGGAGGACTGCAGTGAGGGGGAGTGAATGGCGTCTCGGATACATAACCGAGGCGCGATTTCCCGTTTCTCGGCGATAAGCTCTCCTTACGGGATCCTCATTTTATTTTCTCACAATGAATCTTCTCATTCACCGTGGAATGGGGCCGAAGCTACAGGATTTGTAATGATCAAATTTCTTACGACCGAGAGGGCTTATAACGCCACTTCGGTCAGCAAGCAAAAGAAGTAAACCATTCATGCTATTCGAGGAGCCGAGTGGCTACGATTACAGAAGGAAAGGCCGCTCAATTCTTCTTTAGTTTGGGTTTTGTACCGGCAGCGGAACTTATATGCAAATCTTTACTTGTTCTGCAGAAGTCACAATGGGGATCGCCCTCGACAATGCCTTCATTTATTCATTATGGGCATATACAAAGCGCAGACAATTCATTTTTTTATGTATTACCTCTCTCAGGGGTCACAATAACCCCCCGCACCTCCCCTGACAATGCCTTCATCTGCTCTTCTCTCCACAAGGACAATGCCATCTTTGGATATTCCAGGTTCACCATCTACTTCCTGGACTGAGAGGCTGGCTTGAGTCATGTTATTCCTGGCGGCTGTGCTCATAAATGTCATAAATAAATAAAGGCAATGTCAAGGGGGAATACCCCTAGGCTGGGCCCATTGTGACTTGTGCAGAACAAGGAAGAAATGCTTCCTCCTGTCTGCAGCAGACTGATGACATCATCTCAGCCTAGGCAAAGTGACTTCTAGGAGCTCAGGTGGGCTTTTATTGGTAAAAGGTGGAGCTTTTCAGAAACCGCATGGTAGCATGATATTAACGGAGGCTTGTAACATTAATGAGAGGTCTACTACTTATCAATATTTAAATGAAAATAAATAATCGTTCTGATCAAGTGATGGGGGGGGGGACAACCCTATAATAAGGAGCAAGAGGCTGTTGCTTCAGATGGCATCTCTTCGGGTCACGTTGGTTCCTCCTTCTGGCAAGAGCATCCCAGGTTGCTAAGAGCCGGGCGCGGAAATGTGTATTGGGCCATTTACATCTCCCTTCGCAGGTCTTAGTAACCTGGCCGGCGTCCTGCCCAGCTCCAGGCAGCCAGTGAGCTGGGTGGGACGCCGGCCAGAGCTAGGCGGTGCACCAATAAGGCCTGGCTAGAGTGCCGATAGTGTGCACCACCACCACACCAAACATGATATGGTGATCACCAGCACCGTACACCCCCCGAACCTCAAACGGTGATTATGCTAGGCATACCCCTGGGAAGGGGAGTCTCTAAAAAGGGGTCCTGATCATGTGACTTTTAGGAGGGGAGATACCCACCGATAATAAGACACAGTGTTCCCCATGACTGGCACAGGGGAGAGCGGAGTGCGGATTGTGGTCAATTTGCAGCTTTTTTTCCGCCTGCGTCCTCCAGCGTTATATTTCTCGGTTATTTCTGTCCCGATCTGATCTGTTTATGTTTATTGATTTTATAATCCTTTCGTCCGAACAAATAACATTTGTGTTCATATTTATACTCCGGATGCTTCGGGTTCTTTTTGTCCTTCAATTAAGATGGACTGACTCGCCCGCAAGGTCAGAAGACAATTTCTCTGGATGATGATTTGACGCCTTATTATAGATATCGATATTCGGGTAGTAATAGGATTTCTATTAGAATGACAGCGTCTCACTTTCATCTCTATATAGAAATTATATTAATAGCTGTATACACTGAGTGGCCAGATTATTATGACCACCCCATCAGTACTTCGTTGGACCGCCTCGTGACTCCACGAGATGATGAAAGGTGATGCGAGGAATCTGACACGGCACTGTTGCCCTTCTGTTGTCTGGTACCAGTCTTGCCCCTCCCCCGTTCTGCCCTAACATTGACTAGTCGCTGACGGCCACAATATGCACGTTCAGACCCAGATTTTCGGCTGA